GCTACTAGGGTTTTAAGTTGTGTCTGATAGATGCAAAATTGTATTTTCTTAACGATTTTATAAACGAAAAAAGTCTATAGCTCTCGACCTTATAATTTTGAGGACCATGAAAATTCTAATTTTTTTAAAACTTAAACGAGCCCTTTATGGTCTCAAAATAACTTCTAGAGCATGGTATGATGCCTTAGTGGATTTTTCATAAGACAATTACTTAATCGTGGTAAAATAGACATTACTTTGTTTATAAGATGTAAAACAAGTATCTTTTATTAGTTCAATTTTATGTTTATGATATTATATTTTAACCCATTAATGAATCCTTTTGTAAGGAATTTGATAGTATTATGCAAGGGAAGTTTGAAATGTTATTGATGGGAGAACTAAATTAATTTTTAGATTTGTAGATAAAGAAACCAAAAGTTGGCACATTCATCAGATAGAAAAAGTATTACTTGGAGCTCCAAAAGAAATATGATATGACAGATTAAAAAAGCATCTCAACTCTATGGCTTCAAATGTGCTCATAGATAAATATGAACAAGGCATAGAGAATTACATTACATAATATAGAGGTACCACAGGATCTTGACTCTATTTAATCGCGAGTAGGCATGATATTATGTTTAGCGTGTGCATGTACGCTGGATTTCAAATGTCACTTAAGAAACCCCACTTTAAGTTCGTAAAAATAATTTTGAGATATCTTAACAAAACCTCACATCATATTCTTTGGTTCCCAAGGTGAGAGAGAGTAGCTTAGTAGGATTCCCCAATTCTAATTTTTCTGGTTGCAAATTGGATATTAAAAGTACTAGTGGCACCTGTCATTTGTTTGAAAATTGTTTAGTTTCTTGGCATAGTTAAAAGTACTAGTGTTGAGGTTGAATATGTAGTCGCCGATAATTGTTGTGCACAAGTATTATGGATAAAGTAACAACTATTAGATTATGAATTGAAACTAGGTTGTGTTCCAATTAAACGCGACAACACTAGTGCGATAAATCTTACTAAAAATCTTGTGCTACATTCATGCATTAAATATATAGAAATCCAACATCATTTCCTGAGAGATCATGTTGAAAAAGACAGTGTTACTTTTGAGTATGTGAATACTAAAAATCATTTGGTTGATATTGTTACAAAACTGTTATCCACATAATCTTTTTACAAGATTCGTAGGAATTTGGGAGTTTTGGATTTTTCTTGTTATAAATAGATTTACATCCTTATTTCATTTCTTCTTGCTATATTTGGTTTGTTGTAAACTAATATTTCATTGTAGCAAGTTACATATAAACCATCCTTATTGGTATAATCCATTCAACTTTTATCTCTAGCTATATTATCTTTGTATTTTGTTTTATATGACTATTTGTTTATTTCTTATTTGTTGCTTTTCGTTCATTAATTTATAAGATTATGTATAACTGATCGTTGTACATTTAAAACCTTTTTAAGTGCATTTTGTTAATTATGTGCATTTCAAGCTTCTTTTTTATTTTTTCATGAATTATTTAATATTTCATTCATGTATATCTTGATCACGTATAGTTTTGTTGCTGTTTGATTTCATGTCGTATTGTGCATATTTGTTGCATTTGACATGTCTTTCTTCGTATATCTGAGATATATCCTTATTTGATGTATATCCTTCTTAGCTACATATAGCTCTAGTTCTATGTAGCTCTGATTTTTTTTGTATGGATTATTTTATGTGTTGCTTGTTTTTTTTTTTTTTTTTTTTTTTTTTGCGTTTAGCCTCATTAGCCGCTATCTTTTTTTTATCTTGTTAAAGGAGGAGAAGTTGTAATGTGATTCTAGATTTAATTTATGTGTTTTATGTTGTTCGTGTTATTGTAGAATATTTTAGGAAAAACACAAGCAAATGGAAGAAAATATTGATCACGTTTTGCTTCTGCTTAAAGACAACTCAATTCCAATTGTAAAAGTTGCAAGCTTGCTAAGCATCAAAATGGGGGAGACTGAAATTTTCCTCTCTCTCTTAGGGTTTATGTTTTATGGCTTGTCATTTAGCATTTGATTTTGATTTTATGTTATTGAGTCTCCTTACATGATAGTGCATCTTAGGGTTGAGTTCTTAATCAATTTTTATGCAATGCATAAATCAAATTGTTTTACTATAATCCTAGCAACATGCTTCTAGTCAAATTATCAAGTTTTTTAATCAAAAACATATTTGAGAATGGTTCAAGTTATGTCAAGTTTGAATTCTAAAAAACACTTAATATTTTGAAAAAATTAAGATTTTTTTGTAAGTGTGATTTGAATCACAAGCTTGCATGATTCTAATCAATGATACAGTGAAGCCAAAAGTTGTTTTGTGAAGTCATAATTTGAATCACATATGTCTTGACTCAATCAAACATATATCTGAAAAGCAAGTTTTCGCTTCTATTTGTATGATTCGAATAATAATAATCCATCACCTAAATCAGATAGTTTAATTCAAATAACATACATGTTTAACTCGAATCAAACACAGGCAGCAGATTTTGGATTTTGATTTTATGGATCTGATTCGAATCAGAGGTTTTGTTGACTCAAATCACATTACTCGAATTATAGAAAGCTTGATTCGAATCATGAGAGCAGTTTTTCTTGATTCTTAGATCCTGATTCAAATCATTTGATCATTTGACTCGACTCAGACTTCTTTCTTATGACTCGAATCAAATAACACGTTTCTCTCATTTTGTGCTAGATCTCAAATTCATATATAATTTTTTTTTCTTAAACCCCTTATCTTAATGATGAAAACATACACATCTAATTTATAATTTAGAATTCACAACACATTTTTCTCTCAACTTTCTAAAAGGATTTTGAATTTTTTTTTTTAGTTTTGAAAATGAAATATCTTCATCTTCAACCTCTTACATCATCCATTGTCGTTTGGATCTAACTCTCATCCTAGGGTTTGAGATCTGTGAGGAGGATCTTTAATGTGATTAACGTTTTCTTTAAATATTTCTTGAGGATTTCAAGGATTTGAATATGTGTGTGGTTATGGCTGATATTGACAATACCGACGGAAAAAATGAGTTTCTTCTCTCCAGGATTACTTTAGTAGAGATGTGTGAAAGCTTATAGACAAAGTTGAAGTTTTTCTCATCTTTAAACAGACAAAAGTTTAAGATATCGGTAAGACCGAGTAAAGATCGATGTAGAACGGAGACTTGGAGCAGCATTCTCGAAATTGGAAGATTTTTAAACGAAGTCGGTGATGATTTTGCAAGAGATCAGTGTCAGATATTGTGTACAAGTCAACGAGGATTTAGATCAAAGATTTGTATTTTTGTCATTATTTGAATTGTGATTGTATAAAACAACTCTGTAAAAATTTGTCAAAATCATAGTGGAGGAACAATAAATTTTTAACGGACAACCATTGGAGACAGAATTAGGCGCAAGCGAGGACGAAAGTATTGAACCAGTATAAACTCTGGCGCAATCTTCTCTATCCCTATTTTATTAATTTTCCGTATAGTTTACATGTTTAGGATTATTGCTTTTTTAGAATCGCATGTGGTTAAAATTTAATGTATTAATAGCTATTTCGTTGATAAGCTTTAGTTTTATAAGATTGAGACTTCGAAACGCTCTTGTTGTTGATTAAACTTGTACATTGTAAGATTTTTTTTTATTGTATGGAAGTTATTTGTTTTACACAACGTAAAACGATTGAAATTCAATAAATGTATTGATTGTTTTAGTTATTTGTTTCATCTAATTTTCATTTTGTATGCTGATCAAGTGTTATGTATATTCTGTTCGAAAATTTTATATATTTGCATGCACGTTTTCTATATTTGCACACACGTTTTCTGCTATGCAAATAACATTTTGAACTTTGAATTTTTGAAATAAATAAATTTTTAATCGGTAAATTTTTTGAAAAGAAAGTCTATTCAACCTCTCCTTCAAAACGGTTAAATTCTCATATTCTCGTCTGATAATAACATTTAAGATGAATTACTTAGTTCAATATATATAGTCTACTTAGTTTTGTTTTCAAAATGCAACATTCATGATAAACTATAAAAAAAATATAATCAAAGGTACACACTCCACCTAGACTAAGGGAACAAATTGTCAATTTAGTTAGTTTTTTTTGCTAATGTTTTCTATATCAAGTAAATAACATATGTCATGTTATCTATTAGGCAAGTTGTCCCATACAACAACATGAAATGACTAGCTGGGGCTACTGTATATACAACAACATGAAATCTGATTATTGACAACTAATTCCGGGTACATCAGGCTGTTATTATAATACATGAGTATATGAGAGCTCCATAACAACAGCAGCAGTAGTGGCAATGCTGGCCTGAAGAAATATACAACAACATGGCAATACTGGCCTGAAGAAATATACAACAACAAGAATTATAATGTAAAATGTCATCTCTGATATCAGTCAAATAATATGCTAAGTCTTAAACCCACAGAAGTTTTAGGCAGTTTAAAAAACCAAGTCAATATAAATGAACTGCAATGCATTCACAAATAGAATCTTAAAATATGTTTCTGATGCAAGTCATAAATAAATTGTTATCCTAATTAAATGTGAACAACTTTAATATATGACTATATGTAGAAATTTTTTGATATTTCACATATCCAGTAGTGTAGAAAGGAAGGATGCTAATTTTGGCATTTCTAAATGAGTGAGAATTTTTGGCATCACTGTGCAATGCTTTCTGGCCAGCTACTAAAGGGGAGAGACAAAAAGAATATGCAATTGCACATGCGTAGTAAAGAATTAAACTAAAGGGGAGAGGCTATCCCAACATTCTATATTTCATTTAAGGTTTGTATATCAATGTACGGAACTAGTGCTGGGCAATGGCAACAAGCAATCACCACCAGATGCTTGAAAAACCATAAAATGAGCACTTGCCTTCTGCTAAGTGCATGCAAAAATAATTGTAAAACTAAAATACACGAAGCAACAAATTGAGTTCTTCCTATATTTACTATTCTTCAACATCTAATAGAACCTCTGTTATGTCTGGCTTATAGCCTTCCACGCGGGCTTGCTCGGTAATCTCGCAAAGGGTTTCATAGATTAAAGATGAATGCTTATGAGTCATATCTCCCACCACAAAATTATGAACAACCCCATAAATTTGGATCCAACTTTGGCCTGGAGGTTTTTTCACACCCATCTCAATCATTTTTTGTCTCACCGCTACAACATCCTTCCACCTTTCGGCAAAAGCATATATGTTTGATAAGAGCACGAGATAGCCAGCAGCTTGATCATTGTTGTCAAGCTCAGCAACTAACTTGTTTGCAATTCGTGATGCTAGGTCTGAATTCTTGTGTATTCGACAACCACCAAGAAGGGCACCCCATATTGCATCATTAGGCTTAAAAGGCATAGTTTCAATAAGTTCATATGCTTCATCTAAGCAACCTGCACGACTCAAGAGATCAACCATGCATCCATAGTGTTCAATCTTCGGGCTGATTCGCCAAGTATGTATCATCGATTGAAAAATTCTGCGCCCTTCCTCTACAAACCCTGCATGACTGCAAGCACAAAGAACTCCAATGAATGTTGTTCCATCAGGCCTTACCCCACTATTCTCCAAACCATCACTAAGCATATCTTTAAACAGATCAAGAGCTTCCTTCCCAAGACCTTGTTTTGCAAAAGCCATGATGATAATAGTCCAAGACACTCTGGTTTTTCGTGACATCTTGGTAAACATTTGATAAGCTTCATCAATGATTCCACAACTAGCATACATGTGCATGAGTGCATTGTTCAAGCGGACAGAGGGTTCCTTTTGCCTCATTTTAACATACCAATGGATCCATCTCCCTAACTTCAGATCCCCTAATTCAGCACATGCTGATAAAGCTGCCACCAGTGCCACCTGATCCAATTCCACGCGTGCTCTCCTCATCTGATCAAATAACAACAAAGCCTGTTTAGATTGGCCATTCTGAGCACACCCAGCAATCATGGTCGTCCAAGACACAACATTTTTCTGTGGCATTTTATCAAAAAAGATTCTCGCAGCATCAAAATCACAGCACCTAACGTACCCAGCAAGTATAGAATTCCAGCTAACAACACTTCTTTGAGTCATATCATCAAACACATGGCGTGCTTGCTCAACACCACCTTGATTCGCATAAAAATTGATCAAATTAGTGTTAACAAACACGTCTGAGCAATACCCTTTTGCCAGAACAGTCGCATGCACCTGTTCCCCTTCTTTTACCAACTCACCTCGTACACAAGCACTCAAGAGAAACGAGTATGTGAACCCATCAGGTTCAGACTCAGTTGACACCATTTGATTGTAAAATTGAACCGATTTCCAAGGCGTATGGCTGCTGGCATAGCCTCTAATCATGTGGTTCCAAACAGTTGTGTTTGGGTTATCAATTTTTTCGAAAAGCTTGTGGGCATGTTGAAGCTTACCAGAGGCTGTGTAGAATGAAAGAAGCTTGGCGATGATGTTATTCTTGTGAGAGAGGCCATTGAGAACTACTTGGCTATGAATCTGTGCGATGTTCGTTTCGCTGTTGCAGCTTTGAAGTAACGAGAAGACATGCTCTTGAATAACTCTTTTCCCAGTTGCAGGAACAGAACCTTTAGTCAACATCCAACCCCAAAAATCAACAACCCATCGTAAGCTTATACTTGTCTAAGTTATTGAAAATGCTCAATGCTTCATTTTTTTTCTTTGTTTAACAAAAGTCTAAGCTAAAAGACCAGAAGTTTGATTAAACCATAAGAATAACCTGAGCAGTTTTCTAAACGTGCCTCGTGTTTAATGGAATCAACGGCTTGAGCTACGAGAGGTAAAGTTAAAGAACCCTTAAACTTATTTAGACTTCACTCAAGATCATCTAACCTCCAACACTGCTGGTGACAATGATGCAGAGCTCATGCAATGGGGAGATGCAGATACTGGGTGCAATGTGGAATAGAGGGACAGTTAAAGTAATTGGGATTCGTGGGTACTCGCATTATGATGCCAACAGCGTTTCAAACTGGAGTTCAGCAAAACGTGCACGTTAAATTTCATTTGAGAAATTCATCAAACATGTTATCTGCAAACTTGTAACTCCAAACCTTGAATATAGCACAAACTTTCAACTTTTCGTGCCTCCTCTTGCTTTCAAAGTGGATATAGTTTTCGCACGGCGCGTTTGGGTGCAGACGGAGACTGTTACTTTTGCACTACAATTTGGATGAGAACTGTTGAAGATACACAGTAGCGAGTGTTATGGCCGATGAAGTAGTAATCTATACAAATTTTTAAAAGGAAATCGCAATTTATCAACTTTATCTTATTTTTGTTATGTCATTTTATTATTTTATGTTATAGGAGTATTAAATAAACAAGTGCTTGGCTTTTTCAATGCACAGGAAGAGTAATTAATATAAAATTGAAATAGAGTATATAATAATTAGTTTCATCCTTAAATAAATTTTGATGTAATAGTCATTATCTAAAAAAGAAATAAAATTTACAATTACATTCTTATAAATATAATATCAAGTGATCATGCATTATTCTTATAAATATGATATCAAATGATCAATATCATTATTAATTAACAAGAAAGTTTCATAACAATTAGATTTATGTAGAACTCTTACTATAAAATAATATAATAGTAACATAATATTGTAATTATGATGTCAGTATTCAGATATGTATGAAATGGTTTTGGTTTAGTCAAGTTTTAAATATGGTGGAAAGAGGTTGTTCTGAAAAGTTAACACTGATTTCTTAAAGGTTCAAATAGATAGCATATTGCATAAGATCTCATCCTCTAAATTTTTTGATACTAAATGATTTGCTATGATGGCGGTCATTACAAGTGGAAGTGTTGCATTATGAGTTTCATCTACTTTATTGTTATCTCAAAGCCTTATTATGATAGGTCTTTCACCTTTTTGCATTTCATTTTTCAGCAGTGAGTTTCTGTTGTAGAACAAAAGTAAGTGTAATTTTATTGTTTTCACAGGGATTAATTATGTTTCAAAGATCTTTCAATTGTTTCTATGATTTTAAGTATGATTTATCAAATGTTTTTTGTTTGTGAAATTTGAATAACAGAAAGTAAAGTTGGACTTTAGTGTTTAACAATTGAGAAAATTTGTTGAGGTTAGATTTCACTGTCATGTCCTCATGTATGATCATGATCAGTAATATACAACTTTTATCGGATATTAATACTACCTCCATTCGCTTTACGTCGTAGCTCATGTCTAAGTCAACAACGTGAGATCGGTCGTAATACCTAATAGACGATCTCTCAACCCATTAACCAATATGTTAGCATTAATTTTTTATAGTTCATAATAGTACTAGACCTAAATCTATCTCTAGAGTTTAGCATATTTAATAGATGAAAATTTTGGATATAGTAATAACAAGTACCTTTCAAATGTTGGGTCAAACCATAAAAACATGTTTAACGGAGTTAATAAAAAAAACATTACGAACGAAGAATTCATCAATAATAAAGCATAAGAAAAATTACATAGAAGTCATGATCACAATCGATACATGAGAATTAAGCAACTACATCTAACCCCCAATAAAACATAAATTAGATACACTTACTCATTGTAGCTTTACAATTAAGACCTAGAAGAAAGAAGTTGAAAACATCAGTTGTCGATTCCTCGGAAAACGCTTTTGCCCTTAGTCTTCCTCTTTTCTCCTCTTATATTGTGTTTCTGATATAAAATGTATTTCTCTCGGTCTCTCCAAGAAAACCAACAACTTCTTCAAATGAACTAACTGAACCCCTATTTGCAAGGTTTTGATATGGTCTTCATGCTAAGCGAGGCTTGTGACTCACTTAGCGTGCTTACTTTCTTCTCCTATAAGCTTTTTCATCTCATCTACAAGTTACTTTTGTTTCCTATCTTCGCTTAGCACCCCGCCCAAGATCGCTTAGCGAGCAAACTCTTCCTTACCCATGAAGTAACTTAGCCTTGAAGTCATGAACTGCCATACCTCGCTTAGCGAGTTTGGTATTATGCTAAGCGAGATTTGTTTCTTAGTTTTGAAGTTAGTTGACTCTTAAGTTATATTTTTCCACCATTGCTCACTTAGTGTAACACCATATTTCTCCGACTCAACATTTAATTAAGTAATTTAATATAACTCAACAAATGAAGGGCCACTCATGCTTCACCATATCATAAAAGAACCGCAAATAAAACTTTTATAATTAAGGAGCGGAAAACCAATAAGTTTAGCATATAAATCTCAACAGCAATAAATGAAAAAGTGGCTTAACAATCCTTAAAAGAAATAAGACATGTAACAAAAGAAAACATAGAACAACTTGTTTCCCAGTATCACATATCAGAGAGACTCCATTAAGAACTGAATGATAAATAACTAAAGAGGCACACCACCATCCTCTAGCATCAAGCATCTACTCTTGCACCTAATCATCAATATCCAAGATGAGCACTAACACAATAACAAATAGAAAGGGATGAGAATACGCTCAAATAAATCAACGGCGCAAAACATAGCACAGGTAGTATCACATAAACACAATAACAAACACATAATCACCACACCAACAACACACGTATCCACTATTCACCCACAACACCAAATAATCACATGTTCATTTGCAATATCAAACAATCATAATGATAACTTAATCACAAATGTCGATATATAGGCAAATGTAAGCTCAACTCAAATCTAAATGAAAATGTGGTACCGACTCTTTGGACATCAAATAGATGTTAAACCGATGGTTGTTGAGATAGATGTTGGTCAACATTTTAGAAATGAACATATGTTTGAATGAGTCTGCATGAAGCCTAGGAAATCAGGGTTTGGCATTATAATCGAAAGGTATGACAATGGTTCAAATACAAACGCAAGCATTTGAAACCATGAGATGCGAGAGAAGTGGCATGTATGTTCCACCAATTCGAAAGTTGAAACGTGATGACACCGGATCGAGAAAATATGAGTGTCCATTTAAATTGCGTTGATACTGTAAGGTGAATGATACATGGAAATTTAATGTGATTTCTGGTATACATAATCATCCTTTGAAAACTGAGCTAGCTGGTCATCTCGTCGTATATTGCCTTAAACTAGAAGAGAATGAAATTGTTTCGGACATGTCGTCAATCAGGGTGGCACCGAAAGACATCCTTGCGGATATGAAACAGAAAAGACCTGAAAGTGTTTCAAATATCAAACAAGTATACGATGCGTGTTATCAAAGCAACATACCAATAAAAGGTCCAAGATCCGAAATGCAACAACTATTTAAGCTTTTGGATGATAACCACTATATTTCTAGGTATAGAGTTTGTGAGGATAAATTCATAGTTTGTGATGTTAGAACAAGATTTGTTCATGACATATATCCTTCGGGTTATGATGATAGCAAAGTATTGAAAGAATAATGATGTTATATAATGTGTTTTCTAAGTATGAAGGTTTCAAAGCTTAAGAAGAATCTATTCAAAATCTGATAAAAGAATGCATTTGAGAGAAGCTGAGTTATTAGCTTCTGATGGTTCAAAACTGATGCACATTATCAAGTGAAGTCAGATGATATAGGTTTGCCTATACTCTGAAGCTGAATGTATCAGAATCAGAAATGCAATATATTATCTCTACACTTATTGAATGTATCAGCTTCTGGTGATCACTCAGAATCATAGACTATGCTAAGTTATATGTACTGCATAAAGCAAGCTACAATGTCAAATAAGTTTGTCAGCTAGAGTATGTGTTCAGATGACTCAAGAAGAGTTGGAATGTTTTACAAATATCTACTCTTAATGGATCTATAGAACAATATCACAAGGGAGACGCTCTGAGTTACACAATGGATAAAGATCTTTTTGTGTATTTATCTTCAACGTCTCTTAGTACTATGGAGTAACAAAGTTACTTGTACAAGTTATCTCTTCCAACGACTATTCTTTTGTAACTTCTATATAAGTATTTGAAGATTCAATCTGGAACCAACAACAAGGAAATAAAGAAATAGAGCCAAGAAGAAAAGAAGCGTTTCACACTTTTATAAGAATGGAAGAATAACAAGATCAACAATGGCAACACCATCGAGTATGCAGGATTTCTGTTATATGTTGTAAATTATACAAAGCCTTAAGATTTATTAAACATTGAATATATTAGGAACCTTAAGAGTTATGATCTTTGTTATGGTTATTTCCATGTACCTCTTATTGTATATCAAGTACGTCTTGTTGTCTATTATGCTAAATAAGTTGTTTAGTAGTTTAGAAAGAAAGTATCTTGCTATGTGTTTGAGCATCAAAGTCTATTGATGTGAGTTTAAGCTAAGTAAGTCTCTTTCTATGAGCTTGACCATTGAAGTCTTGATCATATTGTTGATTAAGCAGAAAGTCTTGGATTGAAGGTCTGAGCAAGGAAGTCTTGGATTCTTAGAATCTGAGCAAGAAAGTCTTGTACTCGAGGGTATGAGCAAAAGTCTTGAATCCGTGGGATTTAAGCAAGAAAGTATTGGACTAAAGGTTTGAACAAAAAATTATTGTACTTGGGAGTATGAGAAAAAGTATTGAATTTGTGGGATTTAAGCAGGAAAGTCTTAGGTTGTGAGTCTGAGC